GAAATCTTCAATTGGTTTTATTATAATGTTTAGTAAGTCAAAAAGAAGCAAAGCACGTTTAATATCAAATATAACAATAAAAATTGCTGCAAATCTTGATGTTGATGAATTGAATTACCGTTTGATCTAGTATATTACTACTTTTTTCTTCAATATAGAATGAAAGAATAACACATTTCTTTATTTTAGGAAACAACTGTTGGAATTGGTGGAGCTGATGATGAGGAAGAAGAAAATGGATATTTTGTTGCACCAGCAATAGGTCAGCCAATTCCACAAACTTGGATACAAAATTCCAAATTAGCAATTGATCATATATTTAGGTGATTCATTTGAATCAGCATTGTGTTTATTACGAGATCAAGTTGGAGCTGTTTGTTTTGATAAATATAAACAATTATTTGTTCAAATATATTCACGTCCACATGCAGTTTTTACAATACTTTCATGATTGCCGGTATTATATCCATATCCATTAAGAAATTTGTTTGTATTCATTTGTTTGTTTAGTAAATATTTGTAAATTATTAAGGCGTGATGCACATTTACCAAAATTATTTTATCTAGTAGTTGTATTAAACTTAGAAAAATTAGTTGGACGTCTTCAAATTGCTTACTGTTTAATAAAAAACGAATAATTTCAATATGAACAATGAATTGAAATATGTAAAGAATATATTGTTGGTTTACAAATGTCAATGACAAAAACGAAGATTTAGTGAAAGATGATGAAAAACGTTGATATGAATTAGTTGCATATTTTACTTATTGACAATTACAATCAATACACAAAATCATGAAATTAAAATCTTCAGTTAATCAAACATTTATATTAAAAAATTATAAAGCTGCAACAAGCTTTGCCATACGTTTATTGGAATTGGAACCAGCATCTGATGTTGCTCAATAGGGTGTGGATGTGGGTGTCAGCGAATCTTCTGTTTCTTCCCTCATCCACACCCACATCCAAACCCACACCCCAATTTGTCACATATGAGGTTCTTTACTGATATATATGAGTGAACTGCAACATTGCTGTACCATTTCTTTTTCTCATGAACGAGAAACTTTTTGATGCTAGTATATCTAATGGTGAACTTTTACATATGTTTGTGGAAAAAGAACTTGTTAAAAAAAATAACACTTATTAAAAATTAAAGTCAAACCAGCAATGGTTATGTCTTGTTTTCGGTGATTACGCCCATATGTATATTTAAATAGACCAAGTATTTTTTTTAACGCTCATCTTTTGATCATTTTCTTGTCAAATATCAACAAAATTATTTACAAAGGAAACCAGCAGTTAGAAAAAAAAATTTGATTACAAGAAAACAAACCGCATAAATAACTTTCATAACATGCAACGATGTCTTTCTGTGTTTTCAAAAATAAAATGTCTTTAATGAAACATTGGATCATTTGGATCAGTATATTTATAAGAAAATAAATCATGTTCATATTCAATTAATTGATGAAGAAAACCCATATTTGGACAAACAATAGGTCTTCGATGTCTTAAAAATTTATATGCTTCATATAATGTTGCATTATATGTTTTAATTAGATAGGCAAGAATCAATGTTGATGATCTTGATATACCTAAATTACAATGAATAAGTATACGATTTGATGGATTTTGAAAAGCCATATTCATGAAACGTATTGTTTCATCAAAACGATCTTTTAATAAAACATCTTCGTTATCTTCTAATTCAATATGTAAATATTTAATTTTATCAGCAAATACACATTGATGTTCAACAGATATATTTATGATATGTGTTATTTTCAGATCACGTACAACTTTCCAATTTGTTGCTTGATGACCAGTTCCTTGACAAAGAGAAAAACAAAAAAAAAAAATTTTTATTCGAAAAACAAACACATAAGAACTTTTAATAATATCTTACCAAGATAAAGTTGATTATCAAGAACAACAGATGGATATATTGTGAGAAATTTTTCTCGATCAACTGTTGAACGTATATCTGCTTGAGTACAAAAAAATGGAAATAATATACGAAATGCTTCAAAGCCACCAGCTAATGATATACATGACCTTGAGCCTTGGGGTGAAAAACGATTACTAACACGACGCATTTCTGTTGTCGTATTAAAGAAAACACCTTTTTCATCATATAATACTATTTCACTAAATCGTTCGACTACAGATATATAAACGGTACCATTTAATGCATCTTCCCAATGGATGGCTAAACAGAAAAATATTCTACATTATTATTATTATTAATCATTCTGAAAGAATTCCACATACATTATTGTTTCTTTTTTTTGACAAATTACCTTGAAGGTTATAATTGCTTTTAAGAAAAAAAAAATCAGTAAAAGAAAACAAAAATTACGTTAGAGTACTATTTCGTTTTACATTTTGAATTTAAGGGACTAACAAATTTTCTTGTTAGACATCTTTGCTATGCGTATTCTTAATGGGTTTCAGAAGCCACCAATTTACATATTCATTTTTTGGCTTTGTCACTTTTACTTGATTTTAATGAAATGCATACAAACATCGTTTGAAGATGACAAATCGATGTCAGATGCAAATATGCGACCTTGCAATATTTACTATTTGAATTTTGGAAAAAAAAACATATCTTAGCATTTTCTCTATAAAATATCTATTGCACAAGTTTTTAGGAGAAAAACAACGCCGTCGATCATCTTTCCCTCTATGAAACTGTATAAGAAATGTAACAAAAAAAAAGAAGAAAATTAACAATTTTAAAAATAAAAATAAAAAACAATGAGCTTAACAACCATGTTTGATTATAAGTACTTTTTACAAAATTGTCAATGTTTTATTTTGATACATTTTTATGTAGGAAACGAGACATGACGAAAGTATTTTATTGCCTTTTGAAGAAAAATGACGAAAAGTTTTTTCTTATAAAATAAAAGTCATGACTCATGACGTAAATACATTTTGCTAGGATACTTGACCGATTTTGTCCAATAGTTTTCAAAAAAGACTTATATACCACATATAGCTTTTCTATTTAAAACAAATTATAATAACTACTGTTTCTTAATATTGTCAAGTAGAAAAGAAAAACGAAATTTTTACCTGTTATAATATGACTTTCATTAAATTTTTCTCTCGATCGACAATCGATGATATATAAATAATGTGCATGCATTAATAAATACTGATTTTGTAATCCATAACCCATCATATTAAATAATTTTGATGGTGTAACATAACCTGGTTGACAAATGGATGCTGGTAATGTACACTTAGGTTTTGGTGGAGTCGATTGATTTTGTTGTTGGTTCTGATGACCCAGAGATTTATCATTGACCGATCCGTTTATTGTTGGTAATTGTTGTTTAAGTCCATTTGATGAAGATGTAGCTGTTTGAATATCAGTATTTGATCGTTTTCTACTTGTAGGTCCATCATTTGTTACTGAACGTCGAAATCCTTGTGTTTGAGACGTATCAAGTGTAGATGTTTTTGAAATATTTTTTGATAGTCCATTTGATTTTTTTGGTAAATCCGATGGTCGTCTTTGAGATATCTTTTCATTAATTGAATTATTCCCATTGGTTTCTTCATCTTGTGTTTGATTCTGAGATGAAAGAGTATAAGTTTTTTGTGGACTACCTGGTAATGATAATGAGTTACGTTGAACCGCTCGAGCTACTCGCATATTTTTAGTAGTTGATGAATAAAAAAGAAGTGGAAATTGCAATTGACAGATTTCACTTGTCAGATCACTTTACAAAAGAGAAAAAAATAGTGAATGAATGAAGGAGAGTATAAGAAGACAGACAGAGAAAAAGAAAAAAAAAAAACTAAAGGTGAGAAAAAAAGAAAAAGAGAAATATATATTAAAAAGAATACTTTGTATTCAAGACGGTTACAAAAAAAAATCGCATGCTGAAACTCCCGACAAGAAGAGAGAATAGCGTTTTTCTTCTTTTTTTGCTATATGTCTAAACTGTTAACATTAATTTATCGATTCAAACGAGAACACTTCACATATTCAAACACCTTAAGAAAAAAGAAAAAAAAAAGTTGTATCAATAGATCTGCTCAGATCTTCAATTAGCCACTTATAAAAAATAACCTTCAGTCATAATTTTCTTTTCTTTATTTTGATAAATAGCAAACAAAAAGGTTCAGTTAAACAATGACCTTCAATTGAAGAAGACTATGAAAGACACATATATGAATTCATAACTAAACAAAAAAAAAAAATGAAAACTACGAACTAATACAAATACTGTTAGGCTTATGCATTCGAAAAAAAGAAGAATTTGTTTTTAATATGAGAATTTCATCTGATAATAAAGAAAACATAATCTAATTATTTGTACATTGACAAAAAATCAAACAAGTATTTTTATAAAAAAGTTTATGACACGAAGAATTTTTTATGTACACACCCTTATTTGTTTTACAGGAAATTTTTTGCATAAAATCAAAGAAAAGCATCATTGGTATCGTTTGTTTTTTGTAATCTACTTTTGTCAATTACAAACAAATGAAGAGCTACAAATAATAACAAAAAAATTTTATGTCTTCCAACGACACAAAAATAGTCTTTTTTATAGACACGTCCAAAAAAGATTATGACAAAGAATTAAAACATGTTGACAATGTTGAGTAGTCATATGATGCAAAGCAAAAACAAGATTAACTTCTAGATTTACTTATTCAAATAAAAAGAAAAGTAACGAAACTCATTTGTTGTCTGTACCTATCTATTACTGTCTTATTTTGTTTCAAAATGTACATGCCATTTCACTTCTATTTATAAATATTTATTTTTATTGTATACTTTCGGTTATAGAAAAGAATACTTGAAATGAAACCTTATATGAGTCTCATTTGATCGTTGGATGTATATGTTAATAGCAATTGTTTGTCTAGAGTTGTTCGTACATTCTTTTTTTGTGAACAGAAGAAAAAAGATCATGAATCATTTATTCATCGAGTTTATTCGTGCAGAAATATTTATTTATTATAATCATCATTTCATGATTAAAATAATATTATTTATAATTAACAGCAATTGTTTTATTTTCTTTTGTAATTTTATTCTCGAAAAACCATACACAAAGATGTGTGCACACTGAAGAAAAAAAAACATGATACTGAGACCAACACTATCACAATTGCAATAAAAAAAAAAGAAAAAAAAAAGAGAAAAATACTGGAATTGCTTATTATTCTCTTTAGGTATAATGTGTGTTTATATAGGTGCATGAATGTTTTTATTTTTTGTATGTGTTTTAAAACGGATAGAGGTTTGTGCACGTGCAATGTGCCATCATCAATGTATTGCGTATTTGTTATGAGTAAAAACTCGAAGAGAAATCATTGACTGCGTTGACATTAGCTACCAATGGAATATGCGCAAACGAAGGGGAAATTAAAGAAAAAGAAATGTTTAGAAAGAATGAAAAAGAAAACGAAGGAATTAA